CGTGCCGACAATTGGCATCATTTGCCACATAATACTCGTCTATAGACCACTCGCACTGTCTGTCCAGCACTCGGCCGCAGTCGGGCCGGTCGAGCGGGTCATCCGATCCCAACCTCAACAGTATTTCTTGTAGTTTTGTTACACATGTGTTAATCGCCCTATTATTTGACTGATACCTAGATGTTATGCGAAGTAATTAAACGACAAAAATTGCAACATGGTAAATCTTTAAATATAATTGTCATCAATACTTACAAACACTCATCTAGATCAAAATCAAATATTTGTTCGCCAATTTTGGACACACTGTACAGATCGGACTTGTGGTCATACTTCTGGCCCTCAATCACTTCGGGCGCGATATACAGGACGTCCCGATTGACGGCCGCTATACTGGTGTCGAGCAGCGAAGCCAACCCAAAGTCGCTGAGCTTTAAGTACCGGCCGTTGCGAACGGTTCGGGCGATCAACACGTTATCGGGTTTGAGATTGCGGTGAATGACCGCCGGTTTCGATGAATGCAAATACTGTACGCATTCCACGAGTTCTTTGAATAATTGGCACGAAATGAAAAACTCGACAGAATTCATGGCCTGAGCGGCCGTTTGGCGGCCAAACGCCCGCCGTTTGAGCGCCAATATATTGCGCAGATTATCGGCGCATAACTCCATCTGTAGGTAGTATTTGTCGCTTTCAAACCACGAGTTTAAATAGTGTACGACATAGTCAGAGCGTATTTTAATAAGGTTGTTTAGCTCCTTGAATAGTTGTGATTGGTCACAGAAATCAGCCCGAGCTGAAAGTGCAACAACGATGTAATATATTTTTGTTTAGTATTGATTTTTATAATAAGTATTACATACCTTGTAGGTCAAATGTTTTGACGGCATATTTATGGCCATCCAATTTTCGCCTCATTTTATATACTGTGCCAAATGAGCCTGACCCAATCTTACATAGCTCATCGTATAGTCTACTATATTCGCTCAGGCTCCTTTTTAATTTTCTGGCCGTTTCATCTGTAAAATACAATTACTATTAATTATATATTTTTAATGTATGTCATAAAACATACCATCGATTGTTCGCTTAATTGTATCAAACATTTTGTCCAAAAATAATGTATATTTCGCGACAAATCTATCGTTTTTAATGTGAGAATTCTCTCTACAATTAAACAAATTAATTGTTTTCAACGTATTGTCGCTGCAGTCAAACAAACTGCGATAATCTGTGAGAAGTAAATCATTTTTATCATTCAGGAAATAAATGCTGTCGGTAATAACGGCCATAATCAACGATGATCGTTCGCGTTGAGAGTTGATTTGCTGCAACTCCTGGCACCTCCTATTTGAATGGATTTTTGTCGGGAACTTTCGGAGGAAATATTCCCCGTTTTGGGCCATATATTGGCCGCAAAAATACACTAAACCCTCATTTGATAGAAAGTATGTCACGAGTCCTGTGGAGCACACGGTCTCCACACCCGACAGACTGGCAATCATTAGGGGTTTCCCAACATTTCCCGCCACCGGATGTCCCAAATTGTAGAAATAATTGCGACCCCAACTGAACACATGGCCGGTGTATGCGATGGCAAACGACGAGTAACTCAAACAGTAAACGGATTTAATTTTATATTCATTATTATTGTGTTTGAAATGCAATTTCTTAGGCACCGGTACCGCCGAGTGGGGCGACCGAGAACTGGATTTACCGCCGCCGCACCCGACCTGTCCGTATCGGTCATAACCCCAGCCGTAGACACAGCCCTCGCCGGTGAGCGCCAGCGAGTGATACGAACCGCAACTGATTTGTGTTATATTCAATCCGTTTAACTCAGGTATGGATCGAGGCTTTAGATAGCCCTCCATGTGTTTACTGTTGGCCACTTGTCCGCCATTATTACAGCCCCAGCCATACACGCCCTGGTGTTCAGTGATGGCCAGAGCGAAGTCACCGCCGATGAAAAATTGTTGAATGTTTTTGTGACACAATTCCGGTATTATTACGGGTGTGTCAAAAGGCTGGTTGTGACCCAACCCGAGTGACCCCCAGTGGTTGGCACCCAAGCCGTACACAAAGTCATAATTGGTTGCGAACAACACGTTATACCCGAGTATGTCGTCAAACACGTGAAATAGTTTCACCTCATTAATGATGTTTTTGTCGCATTTCATTGATTTGATTGACATTGTATTCATGAAATAAGGGTTTACTTAATTTTAAATATAATTTTAATATAAAATAATTTGCTTGTACATAAAACTTGTAATATTTATTTCTTTAAATTGAAATGAACAATACATTATAGAGTACTGTATTGTTTGGTATTAATTGTTATCGGTTTCTATGACTATAAAGTTATGAACAAATATGTTATTACTTATTATTTCAAATTATTTCAGGAATTTTTACGCCGATAACAAAAATAGTATTAAATAGTAGTTAATGGTTGTTATGTCAAAAATTTATTTCATATAATAACTTTTGTAAATAAATATTGAATATAGCTTATGTTAAATTATATTTTGTTAAACTAAGCTTGTGTTTATTATTTACAAATTTAGTTGTATGCCCGACAAAGCTAGTTATGCTACAATGCAAATCATATAGGGTTATATAATACAAATTATTTAGTTATCAATAGTTTACAAAGTTATTTGGTTTTATTTTTTGTATAAACCAAATAATTTTACTTAATATTATAAGACTTATTATGTAGGCAGCGGAATTGCTACAAATGGCCAAAATGTTTTTTTTGTGCACTTAATATATCGAAAAACAATTAAATATACAAAATTATGTACGAATGCATAAAACAATTTTAAAACAGTTCACAAACAGGTGATATGTGGTCACATTTAACAACTAAATAACCACCAAAATTTGGTTTTATTTGGTTTTAATAATAAAACAAAATTGTATTATTTTTAAATGCTAAAAACCATGCTAAATAAATATATATTAATATAATACACTTAATATTATTAATACAATTAATATAATATTAAATATGTATTAATATAGTATATGACATAATAAATACCATAACATGTATTATCATTTTGGCGGGACCAAATATCAAGATACAACCATTTGTCATGCATAGAGACCCGGAGTATTTTGTAGACCCTGATTTTAAGTTAAATTAAATTGATTGTACACAAAACTTGCAATAATTATTGGGTCACTTGATATATCTTAGTCTTCGTATAGATTTAATAGAGATATTTTAACGAAATTAATTTTATAATTTAAGTCAACATTCTCAGGCACCAGAAACCAAGTTTCATAAAGATCGGGTGATTAGCCTTTATACAGTAAATTTTTAAACGAAGTCAGGCAAAATAATGTAATCCTATGGGAAGGTGTCTATTTTTGTGATTTTGACGGTTAAAATCGCATGTAAATTGATCATGCTCAAACAATACTAGAGATACTAGAAAATCCCTACTCTTCCTATATCGTCAATATCTAATGTATATAATTATATCATATTTATTGGCCAACTCTGACCGATGCCTGAACTGTGGCCACTTAATTATCGGTAGTCGACACGATTGGCGGCCTGTGTTCGTTGTGTTCGCATTTAATTCCCGTTATAAGTAATGTCGTAATAACTGCTCTAAACTGTTGTCGGATAACCAATAGTGAACCCCAATAACCAAATATTAACTCCAAACATATCTATCATAAAAATATTTTCAATCTAAAAATATGCTTATTTTTAGTAAAATATTTTCGCCTAAATTTCAAAGAATAATTCTGACTGACACATTTAAAAAATTTCCAGTATAAAGGCCAATAATCCGATCTTTATGAAACTTGGTTTCTAGTGCCTAGGAATGTTAACTTAAATTATAAAATTAATTTTGTTATCCTAGCTACACTAGAAGTACCTAAGGACTAAGATATATCAAGTGTACCAATATTTTACTTTGAATTAAAATGAATAATACATTACAGAGTATTGTTTGCTATTAATTGTTATCGGTTTCTATGGCTTTAAAGTTATGAACAAATATTGTTGGAGAAGAGGACTGGAATGTGAGACTTCTATTGGAGCGCTCTAAGGCTATCAAATGTCCGTCCATTCAGTACCACATAACCGGCTGTAAGAAAATACAACAAATTGTTGCCAATCAATCAGTTTTGGAAAAGTTTATCCCTAATCAAAAAGATGTTAACGATTTGATGCAAGTGTTCACCGGTCTGTGGGGTCTGGAGTTTGGACAGAGCGGTGATAATGCCATTGAGATGGCTGTTAACGATCCGAATCGGTTTGTATTGAAGCCTCAACGCGAAGGCGGAGGCAATAATTACTTCGGATCAGAAGTGGCCGTAAAATTGAACAAAATTAAGGACAATAAAGAGAGGGAATCCTATATACTTATGGAACTGATAAAAGCGCAGAAAATACCAAACCATATATTGATGGCCAACAAGAGTGTCGCCCAAAACGACTACAAGCCGTCCGATATATTGTGTGAGTTCGGAGTGTTTGGTGCGGTTCTTGGAAATGGGGATCACATCCTGCATAACACCGAAGCCGGACATCTCATTAGGAGTAAAGTGTTTGGCACTAACGAAGGAGGAGTTGCCGCCGGTTTTGGTGCACTCGACTCGCCATTCTTTTACTGAACTTTTTATAATTAATGACAAGAATTTCTTGTCAATGCATTAATGATTTACATATTCACTGAATAATTATCTTATATGAGATTTTTATTTTTATTTGTTCGCAAAATTTTTATTGAAGTTAATTTTATATAATTTGTTATTTAATTTTATGTTTTAGTTTTAAATTAGTCTAAAAATATTTATAGATTAGTGAAAAATAAACGTATATTAATGTTATTATACACTATATTTGCTATCAATTGCTTTGTAAATAATACAGTTTACACTCTGTATAAGTGCATTGAGTAAATGGTATTCTGTATTCATAACATCCTTTCGGGCGCCACACGAAGTAACTATGAAATACTACTAAATGATGTGTCATTATATGGGGCGGAGAACTGTGTTATCAAAATAATTTTTAACCACAATTCAGATATGAATAATGTGGTTTATAGGATTGTTCGGCTCCACCTTCCCCCAGCCCCCCCCACCCTATGGGATTTAACATGGGATTACATGTTAATCCTATGACATAGACTTAACATGGGTAATGCTAATCCTATGGAGCTTTTTCGATAGACTTGGGCTAATGTTATCCTATGGGTAATGTTAATCTTATGAGAGATTATTTCCTATGGGAAAGCAAAATATGAAGGGAAAGGGTAGTTTTTCTCCGTGTTAATCCTAAGGAACTAATGTTAAGTCTATGGGAGAATGCTTTAACATGGGTTTCTATGAGAGTACAGCTTAAGTCTATAGCAATGCTAATCCTATGGCAATGCTAATCCTATGGACAATGTTAAGTCTATGACATAGGGATAACATAGGTAATGCTAAGTCTATAGCAACACTAAGTCTATTGACAATGCTAAATCTATTAGTAATGCTAATTCTATTAAGTTGATTCTGATCTATGGACGATGATAAATCTATGGGATTAGTGCTTTATACTAGATTTCTATGAGATAACCGAATAAATATCAGCAATCATATTAGAAAATTTTCAAAATATAAACAAAGTAAAATAACAATGAAAAATTTTGAAAAAGTATATTCAGTTAACAATGTATTAAAAATTAATTTATATATGCTATCATATCAATTTAAACACTATTATATGCACTCATTATTCTAATTTAATTTTATGTAAAAAAAGTTTCAAAATTATTTTAAGAAGTGTTGATTTCACCCGAAAGTTATGATACCGAGAACATTGAAAAATATGACCTATTTTTGTTTTAAGTTAAAAGCTCTAATAAATAACTCCACATCTACAATATATAAATCTTCGGCGATGTATGGGATACCAACCAATAATATGAATTGCTCAAAAATTTTCAATTAATTAATTATGACATTAAATATCGCACCCGAACGGCCCGACACCGGGAATTGGACAATCGCGTGCCAAAAGTTTGGGTTGTGTCCACCCCGCGGTTTTCACACAAGTAATAGTTGGTCAGCTTATACTCATACTGGAAAATAATTTGTGACAATTTAAACCCAAGTGGGCATTTATTCGGAGCGTGTAATTACATACATGTATAAAATATGACTAATTTTGGCCGATTGTTAGACGCTATTTTTCAGAAAAGTCAAACCGGGAGAAAAACAGTCAAATTCGAGAATTAATGTTTATTTAGTTCAAACACAATAATTTTATATTTAAAGCAGTTTATAAAGAATTATACTAAAAAGGAGAAAGTTTGGATAATAAATCGCTTAACCTATTCTAGCTATTATGAATATGTTTAGTACTGTTCATAGATTAATTCTCCGTTGAGATAATCGGCCAGAAATGGCCGAATTATGGTTATATTTGGAAAAATACATAGCATTCAATTGAATTCAAACAACGTTGAAACACTGAAATATATGAGATGAATGGTGATTCACAGATAACCCAGGGCTATTTACCACAAGTCTATGCATTAGATGCTATTTATTTATTCCAAATTATGTCCATATTTCCGCAATATATTATCCAAACTTTCTCCTTTTAAGGAAAATAACATAAAAATTAAAGTTTTTCTTTTAAATCTGATTCCTATTTATAAGAATATTCTTAAATTAAAAGGGAAAAACTTTCAACATCCTGAAACTCACTTAAGAGTCTTTATTGCATATTTTTTTTGTGAATTTCATCGAAAAATTTTGTGAATTTTTATAATATTTCTAATTTTTTTCCTTAAAAAGTGCGTTTTAAACTATTTTGTATAAAATTTGGGGATGTTTTCATAAAATTTGTCAAAATGGGGAATACTTTCAAAATAAGCTAAAATCGGAAATATTCTGAAAATATGTCAAAATCGGCAGTATTCAGAAAAATAAAACTGGTATATTTTTATTTCATTGTAACGTCCAAAACCAACTAAGTTAGATGTTTCCGAACATGCAATTAAATAATTTTATTCGGGGATAATTTCTGCTCAAACTATAATAAAGTAAATTACGTATTGAAATATTAATATTAAACATTTAAAGTAAGAATTTAAACGAGATTTGCTTCTTTAGCCATTGAATAGAAGATAGAGTTAGTGTTTTGCAAGAGATGATGGGGTGAATCAAACTCGGCTACCATTCCCTTATCCATTACCAACACTTTGTCGTAATCTATGATTGTATTCAATCGATGAGCGATCGTAACAATAGTTGACAAACAAAACTCTTTTCTAATCGTCTCTTGGATTAAGTCATCCGTTTCCATATCAACCGCTGAAACACATTATTATATATAAAGTTTATATTGAATTATTTTAAAATTAAATAGAGAGACAAAACAAGTCATACCAGCGGTCGCCTCGTCCAACACCAAGATCTTAGTTCTCCTCAACAGAGCTCTGGCCAAACATATTAACTGTTTTTGTCCAACACTTAGATTTTCTCCGCCTTCAAAGATCTCATGACTCAATCCTTTCTCCAAAGTGTCCACAAATGTCTTGAGATGCGCCGACTCTAAGGCCCTCCAGATATCAGTGTCTGAGTATCGGTTGAATGGATCCAAATTGAGACGTAATGTTCCGGTGAAGAGCGCCGGGTCTTGAGGTATAATTGTTAACCGAGACCTCAAGTCATATAAACCCAGTGTTTTGATGTCCACTGAGTCTATACGTATGGATCCGTCGACCGGTTCTATGAGTCGGAAGAGCGCCAGAGTTAGCGATGACTTTCCGGCACCCGTTCTGCCGACTATTCCCACCTTCTCTTTGGGCTTTACTTCTAATGTAATCTTTTTGAGCACAAAATCCAATCCTTCTCTATATCTAGTGCTGTATTCATTGAATTTTATTTCTCCCCTTTCCGGCCAATCGGGCGATGGTTTTGTCTCTTCATTATACCATTCCGCCTATAAATCAATTTTAAAAATGTATTCAATTATTTATTTAAATACTTGTATTTTAATATAATAGGGCGGTCAATTAATTCCAATCTTGCGGTATTCCCAATTATTCTTAACCCTAGAAGCTTAAACTTAGAGAATAGTCTCCCATTTGCACTTTGAATTTCAATTAAAAATCAATGAAGAGTGTTAGCCATGAAAATATCTATGAATGCCTCATAAATAGTTAGATTTAAAAATTTGTAAACTTATATGATCATAAATTATATGATTAATTAAATTATTGTGGTTTAATTAAAGTTTTGGATAGTCTTCTCCCAGTTTATACGCAATGGAATTTTTTCCTTCAGTATAAACAGTGCTAATTTTAGTTTACACGTATTGCATAAACTGGGATATTTATCTCCCAGCATCAAACTGCATAAACTGGTAGACTATTCTCCCAGTATAAAACACACTAAAGCATGGGATAGTAGTCTCCCAGTTTATGCATTAACTATTGGTAGACTTCAATCCCAGTTTATTTACAACGCTTATAATTATAGTTTAAGCTTTAAGGGTTAAACTATAATAGATAATCCAATTCTTTTATTAAATGTGTAGATAATGCTAATCTATTCTTTGAGCACAATTGTCTCATTCAGAATTGTCTCATATTTTGCATACAACGTGACTAAATACTAAAAATTAGATAAAAACAATTAGCGTATATGGCACTCTTATATACCTTCAACAGAATTGGATTACCTTTTATAATTTAAAAAATATACCGAAAACCGCACGATTGGAATTAATTGACTGCCCTATCAAATAGTAAATATTTTGAGTATTTAATACTTCTATCGGAGTTTCAGTGTACTCAAGACATCTCTCAATCGAAACGATATTAGTTTCGACATTTGACATCGAATCCACTAAAAATGTTAGACATCGGGTTATATTAAGGGAATAACTCATAGCCAGACCCGCAATACCAGCACTTAATTTGAAGCGGTAATACACAGCAAATATTGCCGTTACAAATACAAGACAGTTGCCTAAGAATTCAAGTCTGATTGCGAGCCATTGGGCGGCTGTAAAACTTGGATAATAACACATATGGTTTTCATCGACACGTCTATTAAACTCCTGTATGAACTGATGGGACACTCCATACGCTCTAATACTGGCGGAACCGCTAACTGTTTCACTGAAATGACTATAAATAGGGGAACGAGTGGTCGACTCAATGCGTTTGAGTTGACGAGAACTCCGAATATATAGCTTTTGAATGAAATAATAAATACAAAACAAGAGAAGGATTGCAGTCAATACTAATGGTGTTTGAAATGTAATGAGAAAAAAGGCGACAAATGCTCTCAAAATGACTGATATTGTCAGCCGAAGACTTAGTATAAGAGATCCATCGACTGAATCCATGTTACGACTGAACCGATTTTGAATTCGTCCGATTGGTGTCGTGTCTGGAAAATGTTTTAATCAATAAATTTCTTATTAATTTACTTATACCGTAAAAAATCATTGGCGCCCTTATAATCCTATCCAACATAATGTTATGCAATTGTTTTGCGGCTCCAATACATCCAAAACTAATAAATGTTTGCGAAATAAATGTGAAAACAGTGTCAAAGACACCGATTCCGGCGTAAACTCCAAGTCGTATATAACGAACATTTGTGTCATTTATGGCGTTGGAGTCGAGGGAGTCGTCGGACCACTCGCTCAGCCAAAAACCCGATAATATTTGAGCCATTGTTGAGGCGACTGATGAGCCAATAATTACGGCGCAAAACCAAAAACCAATAAAAGTCATATATTTTGTGTATATTTTGAGTCCAACAGAAGTCGTCTCTGAGCTCTCGGTTTCGGTTAGCTTTCCACTCGTTTTAACCAATAATTGTTTTTTAATACTATTTTCTTCTTTTATATTATTTAATTGTTTTTCTCTCAAATTATTTAACATTTGTTTCATTAGATTTTTCCATTCATTTCTGCCATTTGTTTGATTAATAACTTTATTAACCAAATATTTCATTCTATCTCTTAATTTATTATCAATTTTTATGTCTTCATTTTTGAGTTCATTGTCCGATTGTTGGGACAGATATTCGGTCACAAATTCGGCAAAATAACCATTTTTTGAAATTAATTCTTCAAATGTTCCCAATTCAGAGACGTATCCATTCTTTATGACCACAATTTGGTCCACATTTGGCAAAATAGAGACTCTATTTGTAACTAAAATTCTAATTTTGTCTTTTAATAAACCATTTCTTCCAATAGTTTTGTCAAACAAATGTTTTCCCACATGTGTGTCAACAGAGCTATAAGAATACTATTTTATTAAAACAAATATAACACAGCGATGCTATACGTTAAATATTATTAGGGAATGTATCAGATTTTACATTTTATCTATAGTTATTAGCTATAGTCATTACTGTATAGCATTATTTCCATAGATTTAACATTACAATAGACTTACCGTCTGGTTGGCATTGCTATAGACATAGCATTATTAATTTTAAACAAATGTCCTAGACTTAAGTTTAATTCTAATAAAATTACATGTTAAAGCACTTTCATTAGTTAAACTATATTAAACCCCATATTAAAGTATAGCCTATGGTATGTTCCCGTATAGATCTTCACTTGAAATACATCCTTTCAAATAAAGTATGTTTGAAGTGAAAAGCGTTTATATCTGGATATATCAAGAATATTTTCTAATGTCAAAACCTGTATGACGTGGTCAGTGCTTGGGTCTTATTGGTCACTAATTACGTGGGCATAATCATCACCAATTTAAAAATTATATGTGAAAATCAATTTTCAAGTGCACATTTCAAATGCAAAGTATGATTTGGGTTCTGAGTATTTATGAAGTAAAGTACAATAAAGTGGTGCTATATACAGTAATCTCCCCTTAACGTTATACAGTTTTCTTTCCTGCAATTCACGGCTGAGTGAGGACTACATTGACATACACTATAACCTCAGCACAGAAATACTGTTTTAAATAATCTGCAAAAAGCGGTTACACTCTCTCAAAGGGGGAGCGAAATTGGGGGTAGCTAGTCGATATCTGACTTCGAAAACCGTTTAAGCACAACATATTCGTCACTTTAAAATTTTCATAAATCTCGTCACTTTAAAATTTTTGATTAAAAACATTCTAATTCGAATAACTTGAAAAATATTCGAATGTTTGTTTATTTATGTAGTCAATGTAGAAATCATAGCTGAGTTCGAATCTGGAATTCAAAATATTTCATTTCGCATATTTTTCGAGTTATTCGAATTAGAATGTTTTTAATCGAAAATTTTAAAGTAACGTAATTTATCAATATGATATATGAGTTTGATGTACAATCTGACGCCGATTTCGAATTTTAAATTTCCAATATTCTACATCAAATATTTTTAAAGTTATTCAAATTTTAACATTTTAAAGTCGAATAGTTAGAAATTTAAAGTCGAAATTCGGGATATCGAATATTGGAATTGAAGAATATGTTGTGCTTAAACATTTTTCGAAGTCAGATATCGACTAGCTACCCCCATTTTTGCTCCCCTTTGCGAGAGTTTAACCGCAAAAAGCTGTAAAAACTGTAACAAAAAGTTTATTTTGTGTTTTTTAGTAAACAATTTGAACGATAACATAAACAATTGTTTACTTAACACATGCAAATACACTATAATAACATTCTAACATTTTTCAATTCTTGTTTTAAAAGCGTTTATGTGCTGAGGTTATAGTGTATATCAATGCAATCCCCACTCAGCGGTGTATTGCTGGAAGACCAACTGTATAACGTAGGCGTGCAATTACTGTATATATTATATTTGTAAAGTAAATTGTTCCTATATATATACTGTATATATAATATTATATTATAATAATATTATAATATTATATATACAGTATATAATATAATATATTATTATAAATATATTATATTATAATAATATAATATTATATTATATTTGGAGTATTTCATACTTTTATGTTATAAGTTATAAAGGAACATGGTATTAGGCTGAAAATGAAACCGCATGGTTAATCCCACACAGAAAGAAGTCGAACAACGATAAATGAATTGTGGTCAAAAATTATTCTAATTATATAACAATAAATACCTGAGCGGGTCGTCGAGTAAATAGATATCTCGGTTGGAATAGACAGCCCTCGCCATTGAAACCCTCTGTTTCTGACCGCCGGACAGAGATCTGACAGAAATCGGGGAAAAAGGTATCAATTTGTCCGGCGGTCAGAAACAGAGGG